TAGGGTGAAAGATTGCTGATGAAGACTCAAACCATGAGTGGAAACGTTCAAAGTTAAGGTTTATACATTTAGTATTAAGATAAAATTGCGCTAACCGATAACCAGCGTCGACTCCTATCGCCTGTAATATATATTTTATGGTTTTATTAATTATTTTAATTAAAGGAGTTTGTAAAAACTTATCAGTTTTTATATTAATTTGTAATTCATCATCGCTAATACTATTGTTTTGCCACATTTCCATTCGGTGAAAAATCTCTGTATTGGATGTATGGATTGCAAAAATATTATTACTTAAATTAAAATATAAGTACGCACAAACAGGACCTCAGCTACACTGGATTTCATGAGAAAATCGAAAAAAAGTTTAGAATTTCTTAAAAATTCACTTACTTTTGGCTCGTGTAGCTATCACCTCAGATATATATTTGCTTGATATAAGAGTTTTAGAGTCCATATCTTGAAAATAAGCGTGCAGCTGACGTCACATTATTGAAACGAACGATACCGAGTTTGTAAAACTAAGATTGAAGGTCTAGAAAAGAAATATTAACACTGAATAGAAAATACGTGTATGCGAATACTTAGCGAAGACTGAGACTATCAACAGAGCCGAAATTCTGCGTAGCAGTAGTTACGCGGTCTTTCAATAGATTGTGCTGGCATATGTTAGTTAAGAAGACGTGCGGTTGAATAAGACAGAATGATATAGATTGTATAATGCGACGTCTATAATGAGATTTTAAGACTAAATCAAAGATGTCATCACTATTGTCGAATTTGGAATTAAAAAAGTCTGTACTATCGACCTTGATCGAGTTGGGTAATCAGTTTGGCATCCCTTAAGACTCGTAAAAATTTATAATTTATAACTACATTTAAATGTATTGCAGATTTAGCTCTGTTAGCTATGTACATGAGAATTGAAATAGTTTTTGTGTAATTTTTACTTTGGACTAAAAATAAACAGTTATAAAATTAGCATACTATTAACAGAATAATGTTTTCATTATTTTTAAATATATGTTGTAATATTTTATAATCCTACATCTTTATATTTTGATGTATTCAGACGAGTCTATATTTTTATTTATGTACGGTTTTTAATTGTTTTTCTGTCTATTGGCATCTTTCGTCACAAAAAGTGATTTAATTTTGTTATTGCCATCTCACTGCATGATTTTTAAATAAGATTAATCATTTAAGTTCGAGCATTTAATTCGTAGGAATGTCTTGATTATCTCTTAATTACCTTATCTTCATTAATTATCTAGATTAATAACAAATATTAAAAGAAAAAGTACCTTATGTAAGTGCAACATTGTATTAAAGAAATATATCTATATTAGAAGTGCAACATTTTATTATAAGTACAGAATTACATAAAAAGTGCAATATTTTATTGTATATTTATATTATTAATTAAATATTAATTAAATATTATAGTATTAATAAAATATTTTAATGTCCTTTAGATTTTTATTTCTTTTTATTAAAATATGTATATTTGTATATATAAATATATCTACCAGTTTTAATAATAATTTAACAGTCCTATTTTATAATTTTTAATGACTGTATAATATCATTTCATTATCGTGTTTTTTTACTATGTTCAAAAACCTGCGCAATGATAATGTAATCGATAGTTATACAGTTGTTAAGAATTACAGAATAGACTCCTTACTTTTAGAGAAAATATTTTGTAAATATTCTTTATATTGAACTAAATACGTTCTCTGAATATTCTTAGAATATGAAAAAGAATATTTATTTCGACCTATCTGGAATATTTAAATTGGTTTCATTTTGACATTTTGTGTATGTTTATAGAATATTTTTTAATATATTGTAAGAATATTTTAATATTCTCGACGAATGTTTATAGAATATTTATTAAAAGTGTTTAATGATTGTGATTGGCCAGTTTTTCATAATTACGGATGTTATTAACCTCGATTAAGAGTGCCGTGTAAATGTAGTCAATAACGAAATGGCATTGTGCACAAATTTCGTCGTCAAAACGTCATTTTCTACGTCTATAATATTCAGCCATTTATCATGGGGAGTGGCGAAGTGCTGTAGCATACACATAAGCACGAGCCCATGTACATGTGCTCGCTTTCGATACGCCGAGAGAGCACATGTGCAATGTCATACAATGTGCATACATGGGCTCGTGCTTACATGAGTTCCTACCAAAGACATCGGATTTGTTCGCGTCGCATGCTCCAATATGTTCCAATATGCTCCTACCATAGCTCCTACTCACTCCAACGCGCTTGATAGAGTGAGTAGGAGCTATGGTAGGAGTATGTTGGACATGGAGCATGCGACGCGACAAGCCTATAGGGAATCGAGTGCGCGATCCGTATCCAAGGAATATATCAAGTGTGGTCGACAATAGTGAGAGAGAGGTTCACGGGAGGCGGCCATCCCCCTCATTCTCTCTCCCATTACACCATTGAATGGAACGAGAATAGAAATGGGCGGTTTTCACGATCCCTCTCTCTCATCCCATTTTGACACGGATCGCGCAGTCCATTCTCTATATGCTTTGGTTCCTACCAATTTCGCCACATTTCGTCAGGCCGCCGATTAATTTTGAATCACATGCTGACTACTTAGGAGCCTTAATACATTTTATTGTGCCATTTGATAAAATATACATTGATGATTGAGCATCGATTATGAAATTTGCCGAATATTCATTTGGTAACCATTTTAACAATGACCCAGTTTCATGATTGGCCATTGCGATGGCCATTCAACACCTTCAATATCAGTCATGCATTCTAATTGGTAGAATCCGATAGTCCTCACTGAGGCCTTGTCTGATTATCATCGCAGCCAATACGGTGGCAAGATCTTAATCTTACGCAATAGGAAAGCATTTTTGCTGGTAGAGCTGGTGCGCACTCAGTGCACTTTAAAGCCGTTGTACACAAATCGACCTAAAGATGTACGTTTAAAAATATAGAATTAAACCACGAAATCCCTAATACATTTTATTGTAGTATTTGATAAAATATACATTGAGTATTTTATTAATTGAGATCTCTCACTTTTACAGTCAGATTAGGTTAATGTACATAGTCTTTGTGTACAACAGCTTTAATGTGCACTGAATGCGTACCAGTTCTACCAGTGTAAAACGCAATGAGCATTGTGTGCCGGTGGATATTCCCCCCTTTCTGTGCCATAAGCTCTGACCTGGCTTGCATGACGTCGATATGCATCGGTATCTAACGACGAATAGACTTAATGGACCGTACCTTTTGTTCCCTATTCCCTACAGAGATAATCCTCAGGTAAGAAAAAAAAGAATTTCTCTCATTCGTCAATATTCTGTAAGAACGCGTGGCTAAATTTAAGACAAAATGGCGGACCGATACAACACTTTTAATGCGCATTAGTTATGTTATTTTGTCTGTTGAGCTATATATTCCAACAGGAAGACGAATTGCAGAGCAAATAGGGAAACTCAACCGACTATTTCGTTTTGCACGAGCGATATTCAGTGATTGATTCAGTTTCGCACGAGTTGAGGCTTCATTTGACCTCGTTTTGGTGGCGCCAAAATTTATTTCTATACAATTGCAAACATGAGCTCATTTATCCGGTTACGTTAGCTGGCCCCAGTGACGACCAGTGGCAATTTTATCTTTAATACTTGACCACACGCTAACGGAGGATGTCGACGCAGCCTAAAGCACGTGGTATGAAAAAATTTCATATATAAATAATTTTTAATAATTTAAGCTTGAATATTTATCTTCTTTCTCTGCTGTAAATTCTCTTGGGAATGGTAAATTGAGCCTGAAGCATTATATGGAGCAGGGTATAATAATGAAATATTAGGAATTGTAAAACTGCGTTTGTTTATTAGTGATATATTTGATGTATAATATCTCTGCATTGTACAAACACAATTGTTTACGTGTATACTGTGTAAATAGATGCATATTAAATTCATATGTAGTGTTACACTGGCTGCGTTCAGGAACGTCGCTCAGATGCCTCCAATGCCTCGGATTCATCATCTGTCCTTGTTTAATATTAGATGTTAAACAAAGACAGATGATGAATCCGAGGCATCGGAGGCATCCGAGCGACGTTTCCGAACGTAGCCAATATATGTATGCCTCAACTAGTGCTTGGAAACATCAGACGATTCGAACAGTTCAAATCTCAAGTTCGAACGTTAAATAGTTTGGACTGAATGTATGTCCGAACTATTTTAACCCATTTCAGAGCTGAAAGTTCGAATTTACACTTCGAACTCAGACATCACAAGTCGCGATCGACCTGAATATGTCTAGGATGGCTCAAGATATTTGTAGGTTGATATCAATAAATATAGGAATTTTATTTAAATTTAATATGCACAATTAAGAAGGTTGAGCATTCGCCACACATTAAACTTTGTTAGTGAAAATAATATATATATTCTTGATACAGTTTACAAAAATTTTTTAATTAGATCGACATAAGTAATATACAGGGTGGGCCATCTATTGGTACGTTTTTTTCATGTGGCTCCCTCTAAAAAAAATTAATAAAAAATATCAATGTATGCTCATTTGATCGCATTTTTAAAAACGTACCAATAGATGGCCCACCCTGTACATTAATAAAATAACCATATCATTAACAAAATAACCATATCATTAACAAAAAATAGACGTTTCGGCCTTGAATATGGCCATCCTCAGTATTACATTCGTAAATTAACATTAAAATATTAAATTATGTGCTAATAATTTATCGGTTAACGTTACAATGTAATTGTTCAATTACTTAATATCCTCTAGTCAAATTAAAATTTCAATCCATAGTTCGTATTTAATTAAATGATAGTATCTACCAGTGCACACATATAATTGCTTGTCAATTTGATATAATATCATTGAAATTATAAGATAAAGTTTTTAAACTCTAAAATAAAAATCCAGTAATAAATTTTCTATTTCAATTATGGAGCTAATTCTTTACTAAAAATAAAAATTTTAATAACATTATCCAAATCTTGAATTTCCGATCAAAAGATTCATTTCTGGAATGATCCATATTAAAAAACAAGCTGAGGGGATAAATAATCAAAGTGATACAGAAAAATTACCAGTTTTCTACTTACCGATAATCCAAGCAATACCATAGTTCTAAAAATTACTTTGAAATTTATGCTAGATGGCAACTGGTTACCTTCCCATTACCTCATTGACTCTCTTCTATTTCACAAAATTTTCCTCCTTTTAATGGTAGAGACCTTCTAGAGAACTTATAAACTAAAGAAATTATAATCTAAGCTCATTTGAAACCAATCTCTGACAGTAAGAATTTGACAAGAAGTAATCTTCCATTATTATCAGGCGGAAATTCAAGATTTGGGTAATGTTATTAAAATTTTAATTTTTAATAAAGAATTAGCTCCATAATTGAAATAGAAAATTTATTATTGGATTTTTATTCTCTCTAGTTTGGAGACTTTATCTTATAATTTCAATGATATTATATCAAATTGACAAGCAATTATGCATTGGTGGATACTATCATTTAATTAAATACGAACTATGGATTGAAATTTTAATTTGACTAGAGGATATTAAGTAATTGAACAATTACATTGTAACGTTAACCGATAAATTATTAGCACATAATTTAACATTTTAATTTACGAATGTAATTACTGAAGATGGCCATATTCGAGGCCGAAACGTCTATTTTTTATTAATGATATGGTTATTTTATTAATATATATTACTTATGTCGATCTAATTAAAAAATTTGTGTAAACTGTATCAAGAATATATATATTATTTTCACTAACAAAGTTTAATGTGTGGCGAATGCTCAACCTTCTTAAGTGTTTATTTTGAAACCACGTATTGAAAGATAATTTAATATGCACATTCAATTACATTCAGTTATAAATACGTTATTATACATGTGTAATAACTTTCCTAATGTGACAGGTTGAAAAAATCGAAAATTTTTTTATATATAAAAAAGACGTTTGAGTGTAATAAAAACGAAAAAAATTATTTCTAATAAACTAATATGCTAATTGTACGAGTAAATATTTACGTCGGCTTGTGCACAACGGCTTTTAAGTGCACTTTAAAATATTAAACTGCAAGAAATTGCAAAAATAAATAAAATCGGTTTTTATAAAACAAAACGTGAACATATTCGAAGAGACGTTGTTCATGGACCATATATAATATCAAAACCGTTTCCTTACAAACATTGCATTGCGCTTCATTATTATTACATGTAATAAAAATTTCCCACACGTGATTTTTTCTTTTTGACATTTTTGTAATGTTTGTATATTCAAGTCTCGTGAAAAATTGCTCTGTTTCCAAGGCATACTATATTTGTTTACTGTCCGAACCGTCCGAACTTCAGACATAACGAATTGACATTTCACACAGATCACTGCTTAAGTTCGAACTATTCGAACTGTCCGAAATATTCGAATTAGATGCTCATTTTTTTCAACTTCGAATTATTCGAATAAAAACATTCAACATGTTCGAATCTTTTGTCTGAGCCCTAGCCTCAACTAATGCTTTCATGTCAATTTCCTGTGAGACATACACTATCTTATAATTTTTAGATAAAATCATGTTTTTTTACAGCTATAATTTATTGAAAATATCGACATATACATATGAACGTACATTATTTGAGTAGTTAAGTTTAAAACAACAAAATAACATATATATTTAATATTAGATAATAAAATTGATTGAACTGCCTTTTCACAGAAGAACAAGCAATCTTAGATTTCATTATTTGATCTTGGCTAAAATTTTTTCGTTGAAGTTTATGATTGCGTTCTGATACCACCTTTGGCGACTAATATATATAAAAGGGATGGTCCGAAGGAAAGCATAGTAAATTTAATTTTAAAAAATCGTTCAACTGTTAATATGTAAATCGTTCGTAACTAAATTTTTTATTGTTGTACATTGAAAATGACACAAACGGTGTTGAAACATATGTAATGTAATTAAAATATCGAAGTTAATGTTTTTTGGCTCGCAGCCCTTCTTTTAATTGTATTGTTATAGATTTATAAAATTTCGAGCCTTAAGCGCAATATTGACAACACAAATAAATATAAACGTATGACTCGCAGAGTACTTTCCTTTGGGGGGATCCCGTTTGCCTACAAATCGATTGCCTACAGTACCTTTTGCCTACATCACTTTTGCCTACAGTTCGATTGCCTACATGTATTATTGCCTAATACAGCTCGATTGCCTACATGTACTATTCTCTGCTTTAAAAACATAAATTCTGTTTTAAAACACAAATTTTCTGCTTTAGAAACACAAGTTCTTTATTTTAAAACAAATTCTCTGCTTTAAAACACAAATTTCTGCTTTCAAAATGCAAATTATTTTTCCTACTATCGTGCGCTCGCTTCGCTCAGGAGACAAACTTCGCTCGTGTGGGAAACACCTACTTTGCGCACTTGTA